TAGTTTTGTAAACGTTTTGAATAAGTTATATGTTATAAAAGTTTTTAAATTACTCACTATTTTATACAAGAAAATGTTTTAGAAATTCAATGTGACACCTCAGACTCGGATCAAGGTCGGATTCGGGTTGGGGGTGTTACATATACTCCCTTGAGTATCGGTAGCAAAAATAGCTACTGGAATCCTTAACTTGTCATTGGTATCGATACCACCCCTTGAGTATCGAAATCGAGCCATGAGTATCGATACCCTTGAGAGAGTATTGATACTACCTTCACAAAATGCCTTTGTTTTACACCATTCAAAGAATGATATCGATATTGTTCTTCCAGTACCGATACTCACAACCTGAAGTGCCCTACTTAGACACGAAAACGTATATCTTAAACTCACCTATTCACCCCACTAAGGCTCACAACCTTATTAGAGTTTTATTTGAGGTCTTAGAGGTCAAAAGGATTTACCTTTCATGTTTTCACACATCAAACATATAATTTACCATGTATTACTTATACATGCTTCATGAACCCAACTAACCAATCATTCTTATCAAAAGAGCTACAAAGAGCTACATGTGACATAGACAAACTAGAATTGCGTTACTACTATTCACTTGTTAGGTTATCTATTATCTTGATGCTTGACTCAGGTTTGTTAATTAGTGGTGACATTCTAGTCATTCTTATCATGCTTTACCTCAATTCACTCTTGAATTGAGTCAATTCACTCTTGAATTGAGGGGAGGATATACTTTTGTCATGCACACGTAACTCATATAGGTTATTTCATTCATTGAGACTCGTAAGGGTAAATTGGTAATTTCAACCCCAAGGGCATTTAAGACATCCCACACTCGAGCTAGATGCCAAATCTTAATCAATGTTAAATACTCACTCTTGAGTCTACTTGACATTTTGAAGTCATTAACCACTTTTAGGTATTGATATTAAGCATTCGCTATGGATACTCAATCTCGGTATAAAGACTAGTTTTTTGGTATAGAGACCCAGCGGTCTTGAGACAGAGCATCCGATCTCGATATCGAGCATACAATATCGATACTACAAACCTTAGTATCGATACCAAGGGATTGGTATCGATACCGATACTCCAATATCGATATCCAAGCCTTAGAAAACCCTGTTTTCATCCTGAACACGAAAAATATTGATATTGTTCATACAATAATGATACTATCGCTTATAACTACATTGTTTTGCTTGGAAAACACCCCAAACTCACCCCAAACACTTTTTATAAGGTCTAAGTTGTTTATTAAAACTTATGGAAATTATAAGGGGCATTATGCACCATTTTTATACTAGAATAACATCCAAAACGTCCAAGACAATAAATCAAGAACCCAAATCCCACATGCTCTTTCTATCCCATACAAGTAAGCACACTCATTTAAATGACATACAAGTAGTAAGGAAGTGTTATAGTGTTGCCTCAACTCCTAGCTACTCAAATACCTTCCTAGATCCTCCAAAAACCAACCTTGACAACCCTTTGCCTTTTCGGGGTTCTTGCACCATTCTTCCTCCAACCAAGAGCCATAAATTGATTCCAACATGGAAATCCCCTTAGATAACAACTATAAGACAAGAAAATCGAATGGAGACAATTGAGGAAGCTTTTGAAGCTTAAATCCCTTTAGAACCTTCATGAAGCTCAAAACCACCATTGGAGAAGATGGTGAGCTTTTTATGAAGCTTAAGAACCCTAGATTAAGAATTTTACCTCTAGATTTTTGGATTGGAGAAAGAGATGAAGAAAGGTAAAGTCTTTCTCTTTTGTTCTTGATTGAGTGGAGAGAAAGAGAAGAAAGAAAGTGAAGGAAGAAGAGAAGATGAAGGAGAAAAGGAGTCTTTTTGTCTCACCACAAAACCCACATATAAAATAGGAAAGAATCACCCCAAATTAGCCATGTTTTTCTTTAATGATAAAATTGCACTCTAGGTCCTTCCATATATTCCTAAGCTTAAAAATATCTTTTTTATCTTCTACAAGGTTAATTTCTTACCCGATTAAGCTCAAATTCGAATCAATAAACCATCATGTTATAATGAATCTATTAAATAAATGCTTGGGTTGATACAAAACTACCAGGCCTATATTCGGGGCATTACACAATACCATCCGATCAAAGTCCTCATGGGTTAACCATCCTGTGAAATAACGAAATTGTCTGTTGTGTTTGGGTTTGGAGCTTTGTTCAGTGCAAAGAAGTATTGGGTGATGGTCTTATCTTATTCGAACGCGATAATGCATTACTGTTGTTGGAAATATTCCATCCCAATAAGTCTTGCAGAGGGCTCTATCAAGTTGCACGTATGCGTTGCCCCAAGTCCATGTGTATAGGGGGCCTTGGAAGCCAATGTCTCTCAAACCGCATAAAAAAAACTAATTGTTAGAATTCTTTAATGGTAAGCAACCTTTTTGATTGAGGAGTGGAGTGTTGCGTTAAAGTCATCGGGGAGTATCCATGGACAATGGACGTTCTGTGTGAGTGCATGGAGGTGTGGCCATAGTGCTTTCCTCTTTGAAGCATTTGAGCTTGCGTAGATTAATGTTGCAAGAGTAGTGCTATCGTCTTTCTTGCTTTGGATACTTAATTGGAGGAATGTAAATGGTTAAGGAGTATCTCGACGTGGATCGTGTTTGACCAACAGAATCGTATGCCTCTTAAAAATCCCAGGGCTTCGATCCGATGAGAGTTTAGGAAGCCAAGGGAGCTGATAATATCTTCCGCTTTATCTCCACTTATGTGTGGTTCAATGTCGATGATGTCTGGCGTGTTATCGATTACAAATTGTTTTTTTCAACTCGTATGAATTTTAGGTCTCCGCAACCCTGTGCATCCTATGCTAGAATCTTAATCATTGGAGATAATTTAGTGAGTTGGTTCCCTGGTGATTTAATCCACCATTGCTTCGGTCTGACAATTAGCATGGATGGTTGTATGGTCTATCTCTGATGTACATTGGGTGGCAGAAGTTGTCAGTATTTTTTAGGGTCATGTTGCTCTCTAAGGGGTGGTTCTTCTAGATTCTGTTGTTCCGATTAGAGGTTTTTATCTGAGGGTTTTCATAACAGTGATGGTGATCAGGTTATTCAGGGGATGATAGTCAGAATACAAGAGGCAGCATTCTCGTATAGTATTACAGTGGTATGTGCAGATGGGGTCGAAGCTAAGATGGTTTTGAGTTGAAAGGGGTAGAGGTAGAGCGAGTGTTGGCATCGAAGGTGTATGACCGACAATGGGAATTCCTGGAAGTTTTTGTTGTAGAGGCTTGAACATTAACAAAGAATGGTGTCTTTATGAGGATGGACCCTCTTGGCTTTTGTGTTCAGTGTTCAGTTGGCGTTTGCCACGATTTGGGACGGATGTTTTTGGCTTTAGGAGTTTGATCCTTGGTCATGTTAGTTGGTCACCAGTGCCCAGGGTTTAACAATTGGTGGGCCTAAGGGGTCATCTTCAGTTAGGTCAAGTATTGGGTTGAAATGCGAGCCTAGGACAATGATGCTTCGTTTTTCATGTCTAGTGGTACTGTCCCTCGCGGTAGTGCATCATTGACGTATTTCCATAATCTTCCAAGGTCCAAAGTCTGAGTTTCGGATGAGGCGGGATGGGTTGGGAAGTCTTTGTGTGCGGGGGTGTCTCAGTCTGGGGTGCGAGTTCGATTGAAGGGTAGATGTCTTTAACATGTCCATATTTTCCACACGTAAAGTAGACACTAGGCACGTCCTCGTATTCAACAGTTTGGAGGTAGCTGTTAATCAGAATTTTTGAAAAAAAATGGTTTTTCAAGGTCGATATTGACTGCCAGGCATGTAAATCTACCTCTATGGCCACATTCGATTTGAAATCCAGTTTGACTACTTTTCCTATGCATTCTCCGACTCAGTCATCAGACCGCGTTTGTAGAGGGTAGGTGGTAGGCCATGGAGTCGTATCTAAGTGGCAATTTTGGTCGTGATTTTGACGTGGTGCAGTCGATCATCCATGGTTCAAAGTGACCAAAGATCATCTATGGTCCATTCGTGAAGGCCTTCACGAAGTTGGTATAGTCTTGAATGGTGGTAAGGAAGTAATCATTCTCAATGCCCATAATTTTGATTGCTTGGTTGGGTTTCTAGAGGTCATAGATTTTAGTTCGGAGGGCTGTGTATCCGATTTTCCTACCAAGTAGCTTGACTATTAGCGTTTGATCCAAGTTTTTAACAATAAGGTTTTGTGGTCTTTCAGATAAATCAATGAAGATTATTCCATTGACTAGGGTTCAGGTTACATCACATTTGAAAACGTGCCCGCTATGGCTGCTGCCGCTAATAGCATTGCCTTATGATATATCCGCTATGACCGAAAACACGACCGCAATTTAGATCCCTGTTTAGTGACGATCGATTCATTATATAGATTAAAAATGAACTTTTCTCCTTCCATTGCTTACAGAGCCGTGCAACACTGCAACTTAAATTTATCTTTGTTTTTGTTGTGCTTGGTTTTCGGTACGCCATTTTGATCGTTCCATTACTCGAATTAACCTCGAACTAGAACGAACGAATTCAAATGAGATTCGTGGGAGTGGGGGGTGAATTTGGTAACTGTTCTTGACTAGTTAGATTCACATCTGTTGATTGTTCTTATGATTGCCAGTTAAGAAAATACTGCAGATTATCTTTTGAATATTTTGGCAGATTTCTAATGCAGTGCTTTTGAACAGGAAAGTTTAATTGCAACATCTGTTATTTCAATGTTTTCAAAAATCGCCCAATCTGGAGGTCATTCTGAAGAGACTACTCCATGTTATGGATCCTAGTGGAGTGCCTGAATTTCAAAGTGAGGAAGATGGTCTGAACCAATTGAAACATAAATTAGAGCACATAGCAATGAATTTGCATGTTACTGGTCCTGGATGATGTTTGGTCTGGATGCATAATCCTTGTTGACAAGCTCATGTTTAACTTGGTAACATCAAGATCTGCCTTTCGAAGATTCGATACGTATTATTTGAAACCACTATATGATGATGGTTCTATGACCCTGTTCCGTCGGTCCGCGTTCCTGCAAAATGATACGCCTTGCATACCGGGAGATATCGTGAATAAGGTGTTTTATCGATCCGAAAACTTATTTTATCAAGAAGATATCCTGCAGAAATGACATGTTGTGTCTTGAAATTCTTGGTAATGGGAAGCTGTAAAGGACTTCCATTGGCCCTTGAAGTGGTCGGTAAGTCGCTTTGAGGGCAGCCTGTCGCAATGTGGCGAAAACAAGCAAAACAGCTTTTTAAAGGACTATCCATCTTGCATTCTAATGCTGATCTACTTGCTTATCTTGAAAGCAGTTTGGATACCCTGGATACTCAGTCAGGAATAAAGGATTGTTACCAAGACTTTGGTTCATTCCCCGAAGATCACCAGATTCCTGCCGCTGTGCTTATCGATATGTGGGCGGAACTATACGAACTTGATGAAGATGATGCCATTATCAACCTCAACAAGCTCTCCGATCGAAATCTGATTAATCTTGTACTCGTTTGGTATGCTGCTAGTAGGTTCATACTTTTATATCTATTATACAGGACATATCCTCAACCCTGCTTACAGTTCAGGTATTTGTACTATTGTTGTTTATTCAACAGGAAGGATGATCAAAGTGAAGTCGATGACTGCTACAACGATCTAAAGAAGCTATACATGAGAGGGTGCTAGGGGTTGTAACCTACCTCCAACGATCACAAAGCTTCAACATCTGAAGGAAGTTATATGTGATGAGGAGACAGCCTATTAATGGGAGTCTTTCGAGTCGAATCTCGATTTAAGGGTAACAGTTCCTAAAGAAGATATCAACTTAAATTGGCTTCTGACATTTATGTAAAGCTTTATGCCGTGAACAGATGGAAACAACTGGACAATGAAACTGGTATTGGTATTAGCTAGACTGCAGTTCCTGTCCGATCCTTTACTGGCATCCCCCCATCTTCTTGCAGCGATGTCTGTGCACTTCGACATGAGCCAGACATGTTTTTATTACAACATATTCTTCAAATCAAGTGTGAGAACGATTCCAGAGAATGTAAAATGACTGTGTTCTTAGTGAACCACTTGTTAGCTTCGATGGAATGTCAACTAATCAGGCTGATAATACAGTGCCAAAGATCAGGATTCTCAATCGGTCCTATATTCCACTTGGATAAACAAAGATTTCACTGTCATGGCGGCTACCTCTCATGTTCATCCAAGAGACAAGTAGAAACATCATCATACATTAGCGTCACATTATTAGGCTGCTTGTTTTGTAAGAATATTAATTTATTCACTTCATTTTAAGTCTTTCAAGTCTTGATTCTTCAGATTGAACCCCTCAACAAAGGTATTGGCGTAATAACATTTTTAGTCCTTACACTTTTCATGAAACTTCTCTCATCATGTTATTTCTAAACTTATAATTTTTTTCATCAAATTCAATCTTGTTTAGTTAATGTCTACTTTTTAGAAAGTGCCAACACGGGTTATTGTATTTTTGTCCGTGCTGATTAGGAATAAGCATTTTGACTTGAATTCGTTAGGTTTCGATCCAATTCAACACTATAAGATCAATTTTACTTTTTTCTTTTAAAATTTTGGATTTGGGTTGGGATTTTTGAAGGGTTAGACCTAATCATGTCAGGTTCGAATTTAGGATAAAAAATAAATTATATATATTTATGTCGGATCAGTTTCAAATTTGGTGGAATATCCTTGAACCTGGGTCTAGTGATGGACAGAATGGGACTAAGATCAGATTTGAGTATACATATATTAGATTTAGTTTTTGTGCCAGCATTGGATGGTACGACTCCTAATTATTACTCATATATTTCTGGATTGCTTAGCAATTAGCATAATATTATAACATGATCGAGGTAAAATTATAAATATAGAATCGAAAAGCGATTGTTTAGTGTTAAATTTTTTTAATTAAATTATTAATTTTTAGAATGGACTAAAAATAAAAATATCCAATTAACTGGAAGGCTTATATTAAAGGGTAAACCACGCATTTAGTACCTAACTATCAGTTTTGATCTGTTTTAGTATTTAAATTTTTAATTTTTACAAAAACATACCTAACATTTAGTTTTTGTTTCATTTTAGTACCCGTTGTTAAAAACTTAACACGTTTAGTACATAAACGATCAGTTTTGGTCCGTTTTAGTACCTAAACTTCATTTTTTTTTCAAAACTTAACATTAAATTTTGAAAAGCGAGGTACTAAAATGATACAAAAACTAAATTTTAGGTATGGTTTTGAAAAATTGGAAGTTCAGGTACTAAAACGGACCAAAATGATAGTTTATGTACAAAATGTGTAATTTACCATATATTAAATTATCATTTTTAAAATAAAAATAATAACATTTTCGCATTTTATCAAGGGGCATACACTCTTGGTTTGTGATAAAGTTATTTCCTTGGAGAAATTGACACCTATAGATGCTTTTGATCTGGAAAATTAAGAAAATGAAGAAGAACTTATTCTTTAATGATCTTTATCAGAATTATGTTCAAGTTGCACCACTAAACATGGACTATATAAGTGAGTCCATTGCTTCCTAATTTTCTTCAGACTCAGATGTGTATGTATATCTACAAGGCAAGTCTCATGTATCTCTCCTTCAAAGGCTTCATCAATCAATCTGTCATGTGTGTAAAGAAAGCTTAATGAATTTGCTTGCAGATGACGATTGAGTTGAGGAAGGAGCCATTGTCGGAGAGATCCATGGGACATGTCTTGAACTCTGTCGATTTGGATCAGCTATGAACCACCACCACCACCAACTGTTTCTTACACAGATTCAGACAGTTCATGTCTAACACCGTTTCCTATCTCTCCAAAAACAGTTCATGATGGCTATGCACACCAAAGATAGAGCGAAAAAGGTTATGTTATCCATGGAAGAGGCACTTCCACGGACCTCGTTGAAGCAAAGCCTTTGCACTTCCATCGATCGCTCTCTTGCAGAAGTTCACTGGTATGTCACTGCAATAATGTCAAGTATCCCTTAATAATTACCTCCGTAATCCTCGTTTAAGCAAATGTAGATCTTGTTTTCTTTACCATGGCGACTGATTCATGGCCTTCGCGCCTATTGAATTCCATCTTCATGTCGACGGTCAGCATGGCGGCGAAGATGCTGCTCTCGGTGGCGTCAAGCTCAAAAGCTGACAACACAGAGAAATGGAAGATAGTAGATCACTTGAGGTTTACAGTCATGCTGATAACTTTGTTGATGGTGTGGGCACTTAGGGTTTTGATGGATCTCTTCCCTAGGTGTCTGAGTTCATCACCGGACAATTTCCTCGGTGGCTCATCATCCGTCGAGTCATTCCAGGTAGCTTCAAACTCATGATGACGAGCCATTCCAGGTAGCTTCAAACTCATGATGACGAGCCATTCCAGGTAGCTTCAAACTCATCATTAGCAGTAGCAGAAGCATTGCCATTGCCATCTTCTGGTTCATGGATCGATGTTGATGGATCAGATGTCAAAGCCTAGGTGAAATCATTAAATCATGTAAGTCTACGATTCCATTAACATCAAATTTTTTCAAGCTTCCAAGTGTCTTTCCTCTTTAAAGCGATCGAGAAACATTTGGTCTTGGTATGCTGAATTTCACAAGCCTCGTTTTGCACGTATTGGTCTTGCTGAACGAGGTACCAGCTTCATCGACAAAATACCAACTCATAATGGAAAAGGCTGAGAAGATCATGGAGGACAATGCAAGACACGGCCACTCGGCTCTTCTCCATGTTAACCGAACGGCTTTTGCTTCGTCTTTTACTCGCTCTTCCACCCCGGCCGTTACACCACTGCCTGCAACGCCAAACCTCACCGTCGGGAGACTACGTTGACTCATGGCACATGCGAGTCATCAAGGCTACACCTTTCGGATCCTGCGTAGCGTCGTACGTGAAGGCCATCGCCGTGTGCTCCGATGCCGCGTTTTCGTTGTTCGACGCTGCCACGGTGCGTTATCGGGGGAGGAATTACGGTGGAGACCAAGAAATAATGGCTGAGAAGTTGGCACCGGAGTTGCCGTGGGTGACCAACAAACTTAGGTGTCATGGGGATGTTAATGAAGCATTAGTTCAATGGAGTTTTGCTTCTCTTTCTCTCACTGCTAGTCCTAGAGTTCAAGGTTCCATTGTTAAGATCTGAGGTCTTTCACCCTTAGGATGGGCACGGTTTGGGTTTGGGTCTTTGGCACCCTACCCAACTCAAAAATTTTACATCCTCTACTAAACTCGATTCGATCAAAAAAATATACAACATCTAACCAACCTGATTTATTAGAAAAAATTCAAATTTGATCCGACCTAAAATAATAATAAAATATTATTTTTATTCAATAAAAATAAGAATTTAATTGAAAAAAAATAATATATAAAGGGAGATTATTGTAATTATTTATAAATATACAAGGTAAAATTATATTTTTTTGGTCGGGTCAAGTATTTTTCATCCTAAACCAGAACTCAACTCGACTCGAACATCACCTTTAAAAAAACTTGACCCAAACCCGATTTTTTTTAAAAAAACCGATCCGATCAAATCAAGTTGAGTAGAAACTCATCATGTTCGATTCTCATACCTATCCCTATTCACCATCCTCTCTTTCTCTCCCTCTCTCCCTCTTTACAGTAATTAAGTGGTCGAATTGTACAAAAGGTCTCTATACTATGATATTTTTCGGATTTAGTCCTATATAGTTTGATCATTTCTAATCTTTACCTTTCGAAAAGTGTATACACCACGCTTAGGTAGAGACGATCATAGGTCGAATTAAGTCAAATTTTTTGTTCATCTAAATCTGATTTAAAAATTAAGTATTTTTATATGTATTTGTTATCATCCGAGTTTAGAAGAATTTCATGCGATTTGAAATATAATTTGATTTTTGAGATAAAAACTTACATCATACCTGATTTTACCTAAATATATATAAGGTAGAATAAGAACATAATTGAAAAAAATAGCATAGAGATAAGTATTATTATAATTATCCCTAATATGTAGTGATAATTATAATATCATATAGAGTCGATTTTTTTATCCTACCCAATTTGAATTTAAATTTTAAATTAAAAAAACTATCCCAATCGGGTTAAAATTCGTGAAGTTTGGGTCAAATGTCTATCCCTTTTGTATTCCCGGCCCTTTCAAAAATAAAAAAAATTCATTTAATTATATTAATATGTTTTTTCCTAATTTCATCCCCACCCTGTATGCTTAAGAAAAATGAGCTGCATAAAAATATAATTAAAATGTATATATATTCTCTAAACACGTATAATTAAATAAATTTTAAAATAAAAGTTTATGTTAGAAAAATAACTTTTTAATAAAATAATTTTATTATAAATTAAATTTATGATATACTACAATCCAAATTATTATTTTAAAATAAAATCATAAAATTGATATTATTACACTACAATTTAATGACTAACTATTCCTTTTTTTGATAGATTTATTCTTATAATATTTACGTTTTCAATTTAAATATTATTATTATTATTATTATTTTGGAGAAGATCAATTAAAATATTAGCACCTGTTACACATGCACTATTAGTTCCCCTCATAAAGGCAATGAATATAAAACTCAATCTTTTGTTCAATTTCAAGAAAGACTCTACCCGACGGCGTCTCTTCCTCTCGTTTAATATTTGTTTTAGATTCTTCAATTGTCCCCCGATTCTATTGAAAACCCATCGCCGATCTCTGCTGATCCACCGATTTTTCTTTCCGATATAAAACTTTGCATCGGAGAGAACTCCGGAGAGGAACGGCGAAGCGAAATTGGCGGTTATTGGTCAGGGTAGAAAGGGGGGAAAAAGAATGTCGGCCGAAAAGAAAGAACAGGAACCTAACCCTGGCCCTAATGGCAACGATAACGATAATTTGAACTATGGAAGTGAACAGGAAGAAAGGCGAGAAGAACGAGAACAAGAACAGGCTCCACGTCAGTCGTCGACAAGAACTCCTTTCACTAATATCAGTCAGGTTGATGCTGACATGGCTCTTGCTCGAACCCTACAAGAACAGGTAAAATTTTCAGCTTTTTTGTAGTTCGAAAATTGTTGTTTTTTGTATACTTATTTGTAAAATTATTTTCCTTTTAATTGTAGGAAAGGGCCTATATGATGCTTAGGATGAACAATGATGGGAGTGATTACGGGAGTTGGGAGACTGGAAGCTATTTACATGACGAAGATGATGATTTTGAGGATCCCAATGATGATGACATTAGCGATGGTGATGATGGTGAGGAAGAGGATGAAGGGGAAGATGATCGCACTAATGCCGACGATGATGGGGATGCATTTGATGTGCATGCTGAGAACAGCGAGGAGGAGGATGACAATGCTAGCGCTGAACTCGACCCTGCTGCTTTTTCGAGTGATGAAGCTTATGCTAGAGCCCTTCAGGATGCCGAAGAAAGAGATATGGCTACTAGATTGTTGGCCTTAGCTGCGATAAATGATAGTGAGTGTTTACTACTGTGTGATACTTGTTAGTCGCTTTGAGTGTATGCCAATGTTAGCATTTACTGAAGTTTTACCAATTTGCAGGAGGAATTTTTACCTTAGAGGATCATGGAGGTAACTCTCAGGTGAGAATTATTGTAAATTTGAGTTATAAACTTTAATTTCCATGCATATGTTGGAATCTCTATGTTCCATTATGGAATAGATTTTCAATCAGATAAATTGTTTGCATTCATAGGGTATAAATGTTTCGATTGAGTGCCCTTGATGTTGCTTTCTTTGCTTGTATACCACTTTGGCTGACTTCTTATCTTGGAACTCTGATTGGCAGTTTTCACTTTTAAAATGAATGGTTTAAGTTTATCTGAATTTTGGTCTCCATATTAGAATATTATGGGTCTAGTTTTTTCTTTCAGGACACATTTTTTTCGGAGTATCTTAATCAGGGATATGTTAATACTTTTTCTTTTGAATCTTATCATGGAACTTTTTGTTTGTCTTTAGCTCATAACTTCAGCTGAGCTCATAAATACTTAGATGACCATCTATTGTTATTCTTCATTCATTCCTACATGCATGTGTTGAGACAATCAATCAAGGAATGTGGCCAAGGAGAGGGGGATCGGCAATTAAAAATTTTGGTAGGAGTGTTGCAAGAATTGGAAGATAGACACAAGTATTTAGTAAAGTCAACACTTGAAAAACATTTTTTCAATATTTTACTTAAGAAATTTCTTTTAAAGCTGGTTTTGACATTTTAATTTTTGAAAATAAGTTTGCAAATTTAACAATATATAAGAGTTTAATAATACTCGTTATATCATAATCAAATATAAAGCTAGCAGAATGGAATTATGCAAGGTTGAAACTGCAATAATATGTTAGGAAGCATTTGGGATTCTCACTTCCTTGATTCCAAAGATGTTCTTGGAAAACTTTGGATCCATAGTAATGTGTTTAGTTGTAGTTAACAGAATGGTTGTCTATCCATGCTTGGTAAGCTTATATTTCTCATAAGAGTTTTTACTGGAATGGTTCTAGAGCTAAAACCTTAGCAAGTTTTTTCAATCTGATGCTTGAGATGGATACGTTTCAATGTCATCATTGAATCACAATGGCCATTTAATTATCTTCTTTTATTAGGAAAAATGCACATTGGTAATATTTGCACTTGATTCGCTCTTGTTGGCCAATTCATATCTTCAACTATAAAAATGTATATTTGCTGATTTGGTTGTAACATATACATTGTAATAAGAAAGGGTTCCCCAGATGACAATACGCTCTATTTTCTGTCTGAGGCAGTAGTTGACAATATGTTGTCTGGTTCTGTTTTAGGGTTCTACATGTAATGGTTAATTCTTTTACATTTAGGACTATTATATTGGGAATGAAGGGTGATATATTGGAAGAAACAGTTTACAGAGTATTTGTATCAGTCAACCTTTGTTTGTAATAACAGTGTCGGGAGTAATAACTTGTTTGAAAGGCAAGGATCATATTGTGAATGGTTCAGAATTTGAGGTTGTCGCATGCTATAGTTTGTTAACATTTTTCTCTTAGAAACCCAGTGTTAGATTATATATTTGTTTGTTGTCCATAGTCATTGTAAGATATCAAGTTGATTGGAGAATAGAAGCTATTCCTGATTGATACTTCTTTATTGAGTTTTAACTGAGTTCTCATCAATTAGCCGATAGCATGTATAGTTACCTTGGAATTTGGCCTCTGTTTAGAATGAGATTTGTTGATGCAACGATGAGGTTGTGGCTGTTGTTTAGGATGGTTCACCTAGAGGGCCGAAAGCCTTACAGTGGTTATGGAGGTTAAGCTTGGGGTAGGAGTGACGAGGAATAAGATTGGAGGAGGAGCCCTACAAGTCCCTCATTTCCTTGTGAGGATGCTTTATCTAGATATGATGTGGGTCCTCATATGATGCCATACTATGTGTAGGGTGACTAGAGGTACAGAGACGTGATAGGATGCTTGATGGATTTGATGATATATAACATACCGAATGTACATGGTTACTTGTGAGTTGTTAAAATACTTTCCCTTTAGTTAGACTACAGACATGATTTTCGATAACCAAACACTCAGATTATATGACATAAGTGAGTTACATGGAAAAAAAATGGAAGACACAACTTGGGTAACAAACATGCAAACCACCTTGAAATGACAACCTTACCAGTGTAGATCCTTGATTGGCAGCTTAAAATTCTTTCCAAGCGGTAACCTTTCTCTGCTCGATTCAAATACAGCTGAAACATCCTAATCTTGCTTTGGATAATATAGCCAGGGCCTAGGATCATGATGTTTCAACTGTATTTGAAATTGAGCTGAAAGACCATGAAGCTACCAATCAAGGATCTATGCTGGTGATTACAGAATAAAGCTTAACAACTGTATGACTCTCGGTCCTCCGGGCAAATTGTCCTAGATCACCACAGCCTCATCCCTGCATCAACAAGATTTTTCGTTCTCCTTCATTCTTTCCCTTTTTAGGAGTGCTGGAGCTTATCATTTTACTTGATTTCAAATCTGATTCTTTTTGGTGACGTACATTTGCAGGATACATGGGAAGTTGATCCCGAGGGCTTATCATTTCAACTCCTTGCACTTGGTGAAGTAATTGGTACTGAGAACAGAGGGCTTTCGGATGATTCACTTGCCACTTTGCCTTCCATAAAGTACAAGGCAGGAAGCAGTCAGTTTGGGAGCAATGATTCGTAAGTTTGAATGCACAATTACTTTCTTTTATGCCTGAATTTCATTCATTTGGTTATATTTGCGTTCCTTGTTTTCAGGTGTGTCATATGCCGTGTAGACTACGAGGATGACGACTCCTTGACAATTCTTTCTTGCAAGCATTCATATCATCCGGAGTGCATAAATAACTGGTTGAAAATAAACAAGGTATGCTTATCAGAATGGCAACAACCATAGATTTCCATCAAAAGAAAGTACTGTCAAATTTCTTCTAGTTGATTTGAACTTCTGACTCGCCTCTCTCCCCCTAATTTTCTCTCCTGTTTGTTTGTTGTATCATATACATTTTAGAACCCGGGTTTATACGATCATTATATGGTCACAGAAGCTTTTTTTGAACATATATATTGCAATGCAATGGATACCGAATAATATTCGTTGTGTTACCGCAGGTCTGTCCTGTTTGTAGTGCTGAGGTCTTAATCTCGGGTCAGAGCTAGTATTTTCAGATAATCCTCAAGCCACACAAGGCATCATCTACTTGTCATAAAACGCAGAGTGTAGGATTTCTTTATGGTTAAAAGACTCGTATCTATAACATCTTCCTTCTAGCATGTATCCATTCATCTATTACCTTTTGTGTTATACTCCCTTTGGAATTAGTTTACTATCTGTTTTATGTAGACTGGCCTCGAAAAATGATATTCTTTGATACAAAATTCTGTTTAATTTTGTATAATGTATAGAAATGTTTGTCTTTGTACACATAACTCCAGTGTATCCTCTTTTCATGAGCAAATAATGTAACACCTTTATACCGATACGGGTGACCTAATCCGATCTGAAGTGTCACATTAGGGTCATTGGAGCGACTCAAAGTAGAAATCCAGAAAAAATTAAAAATTTTGTTAAAATGTGTAAATCATAAAACAATTTATAAATAAAATACAAGTTCATAAAACCATTTGTATATTAAAAATAGAATTAAAATTATACAAGTTCCAGACTTGGTATATAAAAAAATAAAATGTGACTTACATGCTCCTTAATTACACATTATATTGTACTTTGGAGACAAAGCTAAATGAACTCTCAATACTGAAGTTGATAGTTGCACTGGATTGATTCTTTTAACCTGAAATAGTGAGTAAAGAGTGAGATTTGAGAAGTTCAGTAATACAGAACTAACAGATGAATGCAATAGGTCATCGGGTATAACATATATCATAAATTCCTTAGCGGGACAAACATCATCAGATTCTGGCAATGAATTCAGATTCTAGTTGTGAATTCAAATTTCATTAACTAAGTCTTCAGTTACAAACAAGAATTACGGTCTAAAAGAAGTATTCAGAGAGAGACAAATTCAGAAGATTGAATTGGGGAGTCTAATGTGTTCCAACAAAACAGAGAAATATGTGTAGATCCTTTAAAACAATAGTAGTTTAGAACATAATTTAAAATCACAGTAATACCCTCCAACCGAACACCGATATGTAGTTCCCTAGAACTGCATCCATAAGGACTTACCTTAGATCCATTGGGCGTAGGAGTCAACCTAAGGGATTATCTTGAGGCGTGAGGGCCTACCCAAGGGAGTATCTTAGGGCCTAAGAGCCTACCCAAAAAAGTACCTTGGGGCCTTAGAGCCTACCCAAGGTTACCTTAGGATGACTCATATACCCAATGGGTATAAGATAAGCTCTTAAGGATGCAGTTTTGGTGGAACTGCATTTTGGTGTACGTTATGAGGGTAATTATGAGTTTTAAATTCAACTTATCGATGATTTTTTATGATACCTTACTGAAACACTCCAGATTATTTTACCTACCATGTTTATTTGCAGTATTGGGACACACTGAGCTCCCTAGCGCACCATTTTCAAACTATTTTTCCCCCTTTAGATAATTTTGGATAGACACCCAGAACCAGACACTTGGAGGATCGACACATTCTTACATAACCTTTTGTTGTAATGTTTCTATAATTTGAACTGCTTTTATTTACGGTGACATGTGTCTTTATTTTGAAATACTTATTTTATGATTATTACTGCGATATGGATATTTGATTTATTATATATTACTCAGTCACTGACGGTTATATATATATTTACTTGTTTAGTTTTTTTTATCAATATTAACTATATGACATTTTTGTTAAATATTGTTTATAATACGATTTTAAATTATCGAAAATATTTTAGAAATTTTAATGTACTCCGCTAGACCTAGTTGTAATGCATAATCCGGGTCTATGAGGTTTTATTTATTTGGTATAAGAGATTTTGGTTTTAAACCTCGGACTGTGAATGTGTCTTAAATTAATAAAAATACTATTTTAAAAATATTTTAAAACTTCATATAAGTCTATGTCACCTGTTTATAAGTTTAACTATGTTCGGTACTCCGAATGCCTAATTTGACCCTAGGTTTAACTCTTGTGTAGTGAGCCTTAAGATCATTCTCGATGAGTACTAGATGAGGTCATCGGCTTGGCCGTGGGTGAGGTCGAACTGCTAGGATCCATGAACCGATCGACGATCCGATGGTTGATTCATCGCCTGTCTTTAGTATAGATATGACGACGCCTACGAGAGTGGTGTTAAATGATACTCTCGGTAGGCAGTTTCTACAACTGATTCAGGGTGCGATCAGAGCTTCTGGTACCGCACTTGAAGTTTTGATTACACAGACCCTGATCGTCAATGGGGTCAGGACTTGTGGAGGTCTGGCTGGCGGAGCTCATACTGAAGCTGAAGACTGGCTCTGTGATATAGAGAGATGTATGGATCAGCTGATTTTGGATCCATGAAAAAGGTATCTAGGAGCTGTTTCGATGCTAGATGGAAATGCCCACACCTGGTGGGAATCGGTAGTGAGCAGTGTTCCTGCTGATCGTCTGACGTGGGATTTTTTCAAAGAGCGATTCAGGAAGCGTTTCCTTAGAGAGCGTTATTTGGCTAAGAGGCGACAACAGTTCCAGGACTTGGTGCATGGAGATGTGTCAGTCTCCGAGTATAAGATGGAATTTTTGAAGCCGCTGAAGTATGGTGCTAGCTTGGTTCCCACTGAGAGGGACAAATGTCACAAGTTTGCTTTAGGACTCATATATGAGTTACGTAGGCAAGTTGTGAACCATTAGGATGAGATTTTTGATGTTTTGGTGGGTAGAACAAAGGATGTTGGGGAGGTGAAGGCCTTGGCTCTAGTTAGAGATTGAGTAGATCGAGATAGGCCTAGGAGGTCTCCTGGCCCGACCGAGTCTTCGGTACGTCCTGAGAAGAGGACTCGTACTTCAGCCCCCCATAGGACTAATACCAGTTCAAGGGCTGCAGTACCTCCACCCCCAGCTGTTAGTCGAGGGAGTTCATCGAGTTTGCCTCAGGTGCTCGTTTGTGACTTTTATGGAAATCAACACGGGGGAGAGTGTCATAAGAATACGATAGCTTGCTTCCATTGTGGATCCAATGGTCATTTCCCGAGGGATTGTCCACAACTAGCTTCGACAGAGCATACAAATGTCCAGACTCTTGTATGTTCTTAGGCTTCCGTTCAGACCCCATCTAGAGGTCATAGCCAGGGAAAGACTCCTGGAATAGTGTCCATGACATATAGTAGAGCCCGATCCCAACAGAGCATAACACCAGCAGTATCAAAGGCCAGACATCCAGCTCTGGTGTATGCCACCAGACGTCGGGATGAGACGAGCCAGAGGTTATTGTAGGTACATTTACTATTTATTCTGTTACATACTTTGCATTGCTAGACAATGGCTCCACCCACTCCTATATTTCGAGTTCAATATCCCGAGACCTTCATATTCCAATTGAAGACACTGAGAATGTTGTTACTATTATAACTCCAGTAGGACAATCAGTGGTTGTGAATAAGGTATTCAGGCATTGTCCTCTGGAAGTTCAAAGTGAAATTTTCTTCGCCGACCTTATGGAGCTTCCTTTAGAGGAGTTTGATCTGATTCTGGGGATGGACTGATTAATTAGCATTGGGTCAGTCTGGATTGCGAGTACAATAGAGCTACTCTAAAGACTTCAGATGGTCGGACTATCGTGTTAATTGACGAACTTCGAGGTTATCTTTCTAATATAGTGTCAGCTTTGGCTATTGATTGGATGATCCGAAAGGGGTATGATACTTTCATTGCCTGTATCTTGAACACTAAAGGCTCTCTGTCCAAGATTGAGGATATTCGTACAACTAACGAGTTTTTCGATGTCTTTCTTGAGGAGTTGCCAAGATTACCTCTGGATAGAGAGGTAGAGTTTGAGAATGAGACTTACCTTGTTCTGCACCTGTCTCTATGGCACCATATCATATGGCCCCGAAGGAACTTTAGGAGTTAAGGTCCAGTTGCAGGAATTACTTGATTGAGGTTTCATCAGATATAGTACATCACCATGGGGAGCTCTAGTATTGTTCATGAAAAAAAAAAGATGGATCGCTCAGATTATGTACCGATTACCAGAAGTTGAACACGTTGACGGTTAAGAATAAATACCCACTGCCTATGATTGATGACTTATTTGATCAATTAGAGGGAGCTACTATGTTTTCGAAGATTGATCTTCACTCGGGGTACTATCAGTTGAAGGTTAAGGGGTCAGATGTTGCGAAGACTGACATCTGCACTAGATTTGAGCATTATGAGTTCCTGGTGATGCCATTTGGTTTTACAAATGCTCTCGCAGCTTTCATGGATCTGATAAACCATGTGTTCTGATCCTATTTAGATCAGTTTGTAATGGTTTTCATTGATGATATTCTGGTCTATTCCTGGACTGAGGCAGAGCATGATGAACATTTAAGGATTGTTCTGTAGACATTGAGGAAGCACCGTCTGTATGCTAAGTTGAGCAAGTGTGAATTCTAGCTTCGAGGGGTGTCTTTTCTTGGGCACATTGTTATTGCAAAAGGTATTCATGTCAATCCGAGTAAAATTGAGGCCATTGTGAGTTGGAAGCAACCTAAGAATGTCTCTGAGATCTGTAGTTCCTTGGGTGTAGTCGGGAATTATCGATGTTTTGTCGAGGGCTTCCCGATCATTGTTATCCCTTTGAAAAAACTGTTGCAGAAGAATGTCACATTTGACTGGAGTGATACACAGTAGGAGAGCTTTGAGAAATTAAATGCAGTTTTGACTCAACCTGAGCATGATAAGGATTTTACGGTGTATAGTGATGCTTCACACTCTGGAATTGGTTGTGTTCTGATGCAGGAGGGGAGGGTAGTCGCTTGTACGTCCCGTCAGCTGAGGCTGCATAAGTGCAATTACCCGACCCATGGTTTGAAGTTTGCAACTGTGATCTTTGCTTTAATGATCTGGAGCCACTATCTCTATGGAGAGAAGTGTTACATCTTCATTGATCAAAAAAGTCTGAAGTATCTTCTGGCACATAAGGAACTTAATCTGAGGTAGTGTCGTTAACTCAAGCTTTTGAAGGATTATGAATGCGAGATTGACTATCATCCGGGTAAAACTAATATCGTCATAGATGCTCTGAGCAGGAAAGTGACAGTTGATCTGAGATCTTTATTTGCCAGGATTAAGTTATATGATAACGTTTTGTTGGTATAATTACATGTTAAGCCGACCTTGGCCGAGACGATCAAGGCCAAGCAAAGTTGAATCAATAGGGGTCGAATCATTAGGCCAATGCATCCATTTGGTATACATTGGACAATATATATATATATATATATTGTATCTTAGCATGTAAATCCTTTACTCAAAATTAATAATATTTTATATATCTTAAATTTTAAAAATATCTGTAATACAACAAATTTTGGTTAGTGATAAAAAAATGTAAATATTAAAAGTTTGGTGGCCAAAGTATAATATTTATAAAAGTTTAGGGATCAAAAATGTAATTTTTAAAATTTATATATTTTTTCCTGTAAATGAATAGTTTATTAAAAAAATAACGTTTTTATGTGAATCATAATTTTGATTCGGGATTTGTATTAAAATCTATAAAGCAGTAAAGTCCCATAAGAATTCGAATAATCAGATCGAACCGAAATTTCAGGAAAATTCGAAGGATGATAGAAAAATATGGAAATATTATTTCCATAATTTAGAATAGTGAAATTTAATATAGATCAGTGGAATTAAGGTATATTTTCCATGTTAAACCAAAATTGGGAAATTTAATGATTAAATTGTATTTTTTGAAAATTAAAAGGGCAAATGTGGAAAGTGAAATTTATTTGTTCATATTTGGCTCTTGAATATTAAATTGGAAGATATTATGGTGGCATGGTGGAAATTATCAAGAATTTTTAAGGACAAAGTTAGAATTCCTCATTAATTGAATTTTAAATTTAATTATATTAAAATTAAGCCATGTGTATTAGATATTATTAGAGAAATTTCAAGAAACTTTCAGCCATCTTCTTCAAGTTTGTCGTGAACCACCACAGCCATATAGGTAAGGATTTCAATTTGACTTTTAAGCTTTCATGGCTGATTTTTGGATTAAGCTATTATATAGAGAATTATATTAAGCTATTAGATAGAGAATTAATATACTTACTATTCTCTATCAATTAGTATAAAAAGTTCTAGAAAACATGCTTCGATGATGAATTTTATGATTTGGGTGGATGAAGAACAAGTTGGATTTTGGTGATTTAAAGCTTGATTTTTTATGTTATTAATGTTGTATATTAATTTCCAAGCTTATGTGATGAACAAAATTGATTAGAAATGAATATACAAGTTTCTTCCATGACTAGGGTTATAGGAGAATTGTTGAATTTTGATTGATTTTGATGTGAGAATGATTGGAATATCATGAATTTGATCATAGGAGCTTGAATCCATGATTGGAATTGAATGAAATCTTTACCCTAGTGTGCTTGATATGTTTGGCCAAGGGAAGAAATTAAGGGGAAAATTATTCAAAAAAATTCATATGGTCTATAATTGATATTAGATTGATTCTACATGCTTTGGAGATTGAATTGGATCTATTTGGGGCCTTGAGATAGAAAAAAAGGACAATTTTGCAAGTTTTGGAAATTATGAGAAATTGAAGTGTAATTATTCAATTATGGATATTTATTGCTGGAATTTAATGTTTAAATGCTGAATTTGAAGTTAGATTATTGTTTTAGATCAAGTTGCAAAATTTGGGGAAGTTTGGTGGCTAATTCAAATGGATTAGGAAACTTGGGGATGTAATTGCAAATTTTTAAATGTTAAAGTATTAGATTGGTTACATTATTTCAATGTTGGAAAATTTAGTGTTTGATTTGAAATAAATAAAATGGTAAAGGGCCATTATGAATTAATTGGAAAAGTTAGTGTGAATTCTAAAAAATTCATACATGGTGATTAGAATGGTGATTAGAATGCAAAGGTTATGGAATTTGAATGGTTGGTGATTAAAATGAATATTTATGGAATTGAAGATTTGTTTTGGAAATGATGAAGTTGTTAGGGATTAGTGAAGTGATTTTATATCGATTAAGTATCTATTGTATTTTATGGAATTTTCATTATTGGGTTTATATTATGTTAGTATAATATCATCATATATTCTTTTGAATATTGTGTTCTTTATATAATGATGTCCAGACTACAATAAATTTTGCGATCCAAGTGAATCAAAAGCGAAGGATAAAGTACAAAAATAAAAGGAGATCATTATAAAAGGTTCGGTAATGAGGTAAAGGTGAGTGCATTTTATTTATTTAATTATAATTGGTTGATGACGACTTGAGATAAGTACGATTTTTAAGAATGTTTTGAATTAAATTATGAAATATTTTCATAATGTTTATTGAAAGGATTTGTGATTTAAATCATGGTATAAACTACTCAATACACTGTTTTCTAATAAATGATATATGGACATGCTACTGATTGGAAATGTTTGAATTATAAATGATATGATTTTAGTGTAAAGTCCATTTTATGTTGCATTGAGAGACTTAGATACAATTGGCATGCCATGAGATGGAGTGATCGCTATTTACTGATGTTGATATAGTACATTCGTGTACAATTGATGCGATATTGTTGGTGCAAGTTATTTGAGGTACTTTTGAGTGCATATTACTGTCTACTGATGATGGCAACTAGAGTGCTTGTTGCACACACTCGTCTAACTCACGTACCTTGCATTCTCTTAGATATACATTGGGCTAGGAAATTGAAATGTGAAAGTACTAAAATGTGATCGAATGGAAATGAATATTGATTGATTATTGTGATTTGATAATGATGTTGATTTTACAGGTTTACTGATGTGGAAAATGGCTTAATTAAGTCGGTTTGAAAAATTCAACTGTTTTATTGAGTAAATTATATTGTTTGAAGTTTTACATTATTTTTATATTTAAAATTACTCACTAAATTTTACTTAGCGTGTAATGATTTTCAAACGTAGGTACAAATAAGGATAAAGACATGAAGTGAGGAGCCTCGCGAGCATCTTTTTAAAAATCGTATCGACCTACAGTATCAGCAAGGCATTTATGATGATTATTTTGATTTTTTAGTGACATGTATATTATAAATGCTTGGTTGCTCTTATAAATTAGTTAAAATGGTTTATAATAATAAATTAGAACTGTTTTATTTTGGTTAGTTTTAATTATGCTCGGTGGTATAAATGAATAGTATTTTATAATATTATGTTTTAAAAGCTAATTGATTAATTTTTAAATTGCCTATAGGCAGTTTTATATATGTTATGAAACAACATCGAACTGTCTAGTTGTTGCCTAAAATCGGATTTAAATTGGATGATAAATTATCATTTTATAATTTTACATGATTAATTTAATTGGTTTTAATTGTTAAATTAAAATTTTAAAATGGAATAAAATTTTACGAATTTTTGTGCAAGAAATGTTACAAATAAATAGTGTGAAATCTTTAACTCATATTTTAATACATATTTTAATACATAAGGTAAAGATTGTTACAATATCTTTTAGTTTTTTAATTTATTAAATATTTTTATTTTTATTTTAACTTATTAAATATATTTTATTCTTATTTTAAATTAAAAAATATATTTTATTCTTCACTTAAAAGATTTTTTTATTTTATATGTTTTATATTAAATTAATAATAAATATTTAAATATATTTTAAATTAATATATTTAAAAATATATTTTTAAGTGATAATAATGATAAAGTATATATTTTTACATTAAAATAAAAAAATATTTAATAAGTTAAGACAAAAGTAAAATATATTTAATAAGATAAAACAAAAATAAAAATACTTTTAAAATTTAAGATATATAAAATATATATTTAAAATATTTTTAATTATGTATACACATTCTATAAATATAATTTTTTGAATTAAAAGATAATAATTTTTTAATTAAAATTACTTAATAGCTTCAATAGAGATATTTTTCACCTTTACTCCCTTTTAGACCAGTAATTTTCCCACTGCGTCATTTTCATTTTCTTTTTCTGTATGCTTAAACATTTACAAAGCTTTTTTTATATTAATCTTGAGTAAATATTTAAAATTGAACCCTTGCACTCTTGATATTTTTTCTGTTTGAACTCGAAATCTTAAGGAATAACAATAATTCATTTACCATCGAAGTCGATCGATCCGTACATTTCTTCGATACACACATCACCCTGTTTTCTACCTGAATAAAGAGAAGAAAGAGGATGATTTCCTTTGAAGAAACTCTTGATTCCTCGCATCTCATGTCATCTGCCTTCATTTATAGCACTCTCTCCCATCTGATCTCACGCATCACTCTACTTCATGTTATTAAAAGCTTCCCAATAGACATTTAAAACTTTCTCAGAGCCATTAGAGGTACGTCGTAAAGTGAAAGAGGTTAGCTGAAGAAGAAAACACCCTGCACCATGACAATGGCAGCTCTGGTTCTCAAGTGTTCCCTCTTATTAATGGCAGCAACGGGCTGTTGTTGTTTTCTGGGTAAGTTTCTTCCAATGCTTGCCGTGATCTCCTGTTGTTTCTTGTTCTGGAATCGGTAATATTATATTATAACCTGATATTGTAGTTCCGACGACGGGAACATCGGTGGAAGAGAAGGCGGATGCGGCGATTCCGGTGACGACCCTTTCACCGCCGGAAGGGAACACGACTTTCCTCGACGGTATAACATGGTGCGTGGCACGGGCCGGGGTCTCCCAGATCGACTTGCAGAATGCGTTGGACTGGGCGTGTGGGCTGGGAATGACCGATTGCGGTGCGATCCAGGAGGCGGGCGAATGCTACGAGCCCGACACGCTTGTTTCTCATGCCTCCTACGCCTTCAACAGCTACTACCAACAGAACGGAAACTCCGACATCTCTTGCAATTTCGGAGGAACCGCCAAACACAACCCTAGTAAGCCTCCCTTCATTCGATTATCGAAAAGGGTGTAAATAAATAGAACGTTCGAATAATAATATTTTATC